CCTTCATTGCTTAATGTCCGTTGTCTCAGAAACTATTGCTGTCCTGTGCATTTTGATTTGGTGGTTGTTTTAGTCAGTCAGGAGAGTAAAACTTGTCACTGTAATTTCATCTTGAACAGAAGCCCCCAAGTGACGTCTGTAGTTTAAAGATTAATGAAATTTGATGTTACTGATTCTAATATAAACATTCACCAATAGACACAATTCCTCTTTCTTGAAATTATTAAGAGCAGGATACAGAGAAGGCTTAGACAGCTTATAATAGATACCACTGAAGTTTAGCAGTATCAGCAACCCTAGTCTGCTTTCCACTTAGCCAATAGAAAATTCTATGTTGAGGTACCTTGCTTGAAGTACCTCAAATCATAATGTTAAAAATGTACTTCCCATTTTATATGGTTTAATTTCTGAGGCTCAGTGCAAGTGTTTTTGGCAAGGCATTATTATTATTACTGTTTTATATTTTGAGTGATTAGTGTTTATATTAATTTGAGTTTCTACCAGCTGCTAATAATTGTCAGATTTAAGACAAAAACATTAAAAGCTATGATATTCTTTTTTAAAGAGCAAGTCCTACCTCATATTATGCAATACAACTGTGACATTCTTATTTGGAGATATCTTTAGAATTAGAAGAGTCCTTTTTGAACATACATGAAGAGCTGAAGGCACAAAAATAGTTCGCTAAATAGTATGACATTTCCAGTTAAGTGTAGCTCTATCATTATCTTTCCCTGGTTAAAACATCAGCAGGATTTCTAGGAACACAGAGACAGTATTAACACAGATGTTTTCTTATGTAGACCTTCATGTTGCCAGGTTGCCTTTTTAAACTTGAAGGACATTTTCACAGTATACATACAGTCTTTTAAAATAAACTACCCTGCTAACACCTTGCATGCTAAGTTTACACTTGTGGCATTTTTTATGCCGAGTTACAAACCCCTGGGAATATAAATTTAACGGAAATCCTGACAGTTTTCTATCTTTAACTAAGAGAATGCTGTCAATGTTAGATGGCATTCTCCAGGTAATATTGATTAGGTCAGCTCTATATAGCAAGCTAATTACAAGATGTCTTTCTGCTGACAAATTATAAACTGTGCTTATACATGCTATACAAGTATAAAGTAGTTTAGAGTATCGAACGGCTACAGAACTATCAGTAAAAGTCATTATTTACATTGAATAACTAGGAAATTGCTGTTTCTAGCACTTTTTAGATTACTGACGTGAAATGTACATACTATATCATATCTATCCCTGAGAAAATACAATCGTATTTTCTTCTGATTTTTTAAAACTAATTTACATCAAATTAAGCAATTTTCATACTAGAAAATGGCAAATATAGAACATGAGTTTATCAATTATAATCAGCTTTAATTTAATTATAGTATCAGAGAAATTAGTGTTTGCTTAAATAAAATTCCCAAGGAGTAAAATAATCATCTATTGAGCCTCTCTGTTTTATATTTCTATCAAAAACTACAATTGTTTCTTTCTTTTAAAATTTGGTTTAGTTTCCTATGATAAAATAAATTTAAATAGTCAAGTTTTTTATACTTTTCTTTGTACTGTTCACCTGGTAACAGATATAGAAAATCAAGAATGGAGAAAAAGCAAAGGCAATCCAAACATTTAAAACCTAAATCTTGGTTACTTGAGATTTAGTAACACTTGTTCTACTGCATTTATTATAATCATCCCAAACATCAGAAAGTTACTATGTGTGTTAAGGTGGACTAGTTTACTCCTATAGTTATAAATGTGATTTAAAAAATCTTCTTCCTTCATTGTATGTAGAGTGAATTTTTTCTTATTTGCTTGTATTCGCTATATTATCCAGTGACTTTCAAACTTTTTTTGACCCATGGTATGAAACTATTTTTTTCACAAGTTCCACTATACACACTTGTATCTATGTGAAACAAAAGTATCAAATGCAATTCTTATACATAGTATGTGCAACATATTCTGTTTTTATTATACTATTCCATTCTATCTTATTCTTTTTTATTATTCTCATATTAAAAATACTGTTTGTGATATATTTAATCAATTTTACCAAGTTGAGCCCTACTTTAAAAAACTTTATAGGTTATGTAGAGTGATCTTTTCAGGGAGTTTCTGATATATTTAAAAAAAAGAGATAAATCTTTTTTAAGTAAATAGAAAGTAAGTTTGTAATCTGTACCAAGTCTGTATTAATCTATTAATGAATGTAACATTCCTTGGTTTTTCCAGTCTCAAGTAGTTTGATATGAGTTTATTGATTTTCCATTAATTTGCACAGACTTTCTATTTTATAATATTTATGTTATGATTGTTATATATTAATTTAACTTTTATTTCCAGTAATATGATTATAAAGGCTATTTAAACAAAATGTTTCCATAAAAAAGAACTGAAAATGCAGAATGAGATGTTTACACGTTTTTTAATTCGAAAAATTGCTAATAAGATAATAAAAATCCATCTAGATTCAAAGTAGGAGCAGTACCCCAAATGTAAAGCAGATATGTTACTTTTTGTTCTGGAGCATTTGTCCAACTGATTAATTTCAACTTTATATTTGACAGAATTGTGTGCAAGGGCCTGAAAGTGAGGAAACAGAAGTCAAGGTCTGAGTCTACTCAAGCAGAAATTTCAATAAGATATTCTGTCTGTCCAGTAAAATTTTAACATAAAACTTCGCAGACTAAGAGGAAACCAGTAATAAATTCACATCTTTTCTACCTCATTTTTTTTTTTTTTTTTTTTTTAAGATGGAGTCTTGCTCCGTTGCCCAGGTTGGCATGCAATGGCCTGATCTCGGCTCATTCTACCTACTAGGTTCAAGTGATTCTCCTGCCTCAGTCTCCCAAGTAGCTGAGTTTAAAGGAACCCACCACAATGCCCAGCTAATTGTTGTATTTTCTGTAGAGATGGGTTTCGCCATGTTGGCAAGGCTGGTCTTGAACTCCTGACCTCAGGTGATCTACCCACCTCGGCCTCCCAAACTGCTGGGATTACAGGAATGAGCCACATGTCTGGCCAACATCTTCTCTATTTCTAATGGCTGCATAGGAGGTATATACTATTGACCAATTCAGGCAAGGAAATGCTTAGATGAAAAAAAATTAGAAAGTATAAAAAGCTTGCAAAACGAAAAAATTTTTTATATGTAAAAAATATAAATTATAATAATCAAAGTTAAAAACTCAGTTGAAAGATTAATCTACAGCTAATATATTGCTGATAATCATAAGTTAAATGGAAGTTAGTTAAGATGAAATCATTAAATGTAGCCCAAAGACATAAGTGGAGGAGCAAATTTAGTTTGATGCACTAAATCAAGGTTTAATTAAATTTAGAAAATATTTATATTAGTCAGGCTTGCGCTGTCAAAACAGAATACCATGGGTAATTTTTACCTTGCATGATTTATAATGGGCAGAAATTTTATTTTCCACAGTTTTGGGAGATGGAAAGTTCAAAATCCAGGTGTTAGCATCTGAAAAGGACCTCTTGTTGCATCATAACATAGAAGAAGGTGTCATATGGGTGAGAAAGGCACAAAAAAGGGCTGAACTCATGCTTTCATAGGGAATCCACTCCTGTGATAACAAATCCACTCTTGCAATCACAGCATTAATTTATTCATAAGGGTGTCGCCTTGACGGTCTAATCACATCTTAAAGGTCCCATGTCTTAAAACTGTTACAAAGACAATTAAATTTTAACGTGAGTTTGGGAGGGGCCTTACATTCAAGCCATAGCAATATTCAATTCCTTACGTTAATAAGTTAAAAGATAAAATTATAATTTTTAAACACTTTCATTTATTATGTATTAAATAACAATTTGATAATATACTTAGTATGCTGTGAATGAAAAACACATTTATTTAATGTAATAGAGGTGAAGTAGACAGGGAAATGGTTTTCTCAGTTTCCTCTTCAAGGAAGTATTTACTGCCCCAGCTGCTAAGAACGTTCTCAACAGATCACCTACACCTGTTAGATTCTTCAGTGTTTGTCCTAGCTGCAGATAGTCTAGTAGCTTGGACATTTAGGGCCTATGTTAAAACAACAACAACAAAAAACTCTGATATACTAATTATCTCTGGAAGACTCTAATGAATCACACAAAGTTTGTTGGACTCACATTGCAGTTTGATATTTTCTGCTCAATCCTGTTTTCTCCAACTCTCATTCACTCTATTGACACCTCAAATATCCTGAATATCAAACGCTGTCTCAGGAATTGCATCCAGGGAACCCAATCTATTACAATAGTATATCTAATAAGACTGCATTCTATAGTAAACATCATGCTGAAATGTGAAACAGTTAAACTTTAAAATTGTTAAAAACAAACATGCTGTTGGAGATTGTATTAATGCTCAATTCTCCATTTCTCCCTTTATTCATAACCTTTGCCAGTGAGCTTCCATTCTTCACTAAAGAGGTGGAGTATATTTCCCCATAACTCAATTTTAGGTTTGGCTATGTGATTTGCTCTAACCAATAGAACAAGAAATAAATGAAGACATGCCGTTTGCAAGCCTAAGGTCTTAAGTCCTGGAGTAACCAGTGTTACTTTGATTCTTCTTTGAGATAAAGAGTTTAGCCAGTTTTATAAGGAAAAAACATTAGGAAAAAATTAAAATTAAACTATTTCTAGATGGCAATATAAACATAAGATAAAATATTAAATATTCTAAAGAATAGCTTGGTGGATACAATAACAATATACAAATTTATATTGATGTATACCAACAATATTTCATTTAATTTATTTATTTTGAGAAAGGATCTCACTCTGTTGCCCAGGCTGGAGTGCAGTGGTGTACTCTTGTCTCACTGCATTCTCTGCCTTGCAGGCTCAAGTAATCCTCCCACCTCTGCCTCTTGAGTAGCTGAAACTAAAGGCATGTGCCACCATCACTGGCTAATGTTTGTATTTTTTGTGGAAACAGGTTTCTGCCGTGTTGCCCAGGTTGGTCTCAAACTCCTGAGCTCAAGCTGATTGCCCACCTTGGCCTCCCAAAGTGCTGGGATTACAGGTATGAGCCACCACACCCAACCCCAGTAATATTTCTAAATTAAGCAATTTTATTCTATTTAAATATTACATTTAGAAAATATGTTATTTTTAAAAGCATTGGAAATGCAGTAGAATTTGGGATATAGTTCATGAAGTTGTAAAAGACCTCTATAAAAAAGAAACACTAGTGACTACTGATGAGCCAAAACTTGGAAACTTATAAGTTATTCAATAATTGGAAAATTCTACATTATCAGCATAAATTTTCTCCAAATTAATCTATTAATTTAATGTAATCCCAATCAAAATACAAAGAAGTTCATTCAGGAATTTGAACATTGAGAAGTTGATATTATAGAAGTAAAAAGGGTCAAAAATAGATAAGCACCTCTTGAAAAAGAATTATGAGATGAGAGAACTCGTTCTATCAGACATCAAGATATATTATGTGGGTGCTATGTTGCTGCAGGTATAAACATATAGACTAACTGGAGATTTAAAAACTGAAACCATGTTTGTCTGTGCACTAGATACATACCAGAAATGGCATTGGAACTCCGGGGGAATAAGCATATCAGTTAATTATGTTTGAATCACTAAACAACATTGGTAAAATAAATTGAATGACTACTTTTCATCTTGCATAAAAATAAATTCATGGATTAATGAACTAAATAAAAAAGAAAATACATAAATATTTGAGTAATATAGGAAATATTCTATATTTAATACATAATCTTACTTTCAATGTAATACCAGGGAGGAATATTTTCCCAACCAAATTCATGACATTTTAGGGCTTCAAATGCCTAGTGTTAAATATGTGACCAGTATGCTAATCTTCATTTTACTTTAAAGTTGTGTTTAAGATTATAACTGACAAAGCTTTATAAAGTAATTCTTGAATCATCACAAGTATTCATTGTTTTCTAAAAACGGTAATTGATTCCATTTTTATTATATTACTACTGATGGGTAATTTTCCTATCACACATTGGTGTAGGGTAATGATTAGTTACATCTTAGTAAAATAGAAAAGTGTTTCAAATATCTAGCTTCTCTCAGCTCTAAAATGTCTAATAATATCACAATTTTAGTGCTAAAGAAAAAATATTTTTTGAATCTATCATAATATTTCACGTAGTTCTGATTGAATCTTAACTTTTTCACTAAGCTACACTCTTCTGGTGGCAACAGTGTGTAAGAATTAGGAAATATTAAGACTCAGTTGTCTTAACCTGATAAGCCTTTTCGTCTCTATGTCAGCCAGTATGGAGAGGAACTAAAATGTGTTAATTAAAATTTAGTGACTACAGGAAGTTTTTAATATTTTGAAATACATTTCCCTCCCAAACTCCAAACAATCTTACTCAAAAATCTAACTGTTTTCCTATTTATTTGATATAACTATCTAGGTAGACCAGTTTAGTAGAAAGAAATGATTCTTTTATTTCTTTTCAATATTAATTACAAATCAGACAACAGAGCTTTCATGTTTTGATAACCAGGCATTTTGCTAAAATTTGCCATTTTTTATCTCAGTGAATCATAATTAAATTTTTAATAGAACTTTTCAAGGAACATATTGTGGTAAAAAACAGACTAATCTGAATTATCAATGGTTAAATTATTCTAAATCATAAAGCTACTATTAAAGATTTACACATAAAAATATGTTGTTGTTATTTTTAATTTTTTAAATATTTATATTTCCACAGTGTAAATTATGTAAATGTTCCAATGAAAAGAAGAAAGTAACTGATGTAAATATATTATTTTAAGTAACTGTTAAAATTGGCCTAAACCATAATGTTTGTTTTTACCATATAATCTATTTGGTTTGAACTTCTCTGATATGTAGTAAGATGTAACATTCAAATAAATTATTTATTTAGAAATATTAAATGATGTAACAATTATTTTATCACATTTTATTGAAGATTAAATAATATGGTTGACTAAACATATTAAGAACCAAATGATGAAACACACATATGTATAAGGTCTTTGTGGAAGGCGAATTTGGTAGCCAGATGAATTCTCATATGTTGATACATCTTTAAATACACTTAAGAAAAGCATATTGTTTACCTCTCCAATGTTTGATCTCATGTGGAAATAGAAATGACAATAACTGATTTCCAACTGAAATGCTTCTGCTTGGCCTACTCTAAGTTCATTAAGGTGAAAAGGTATCTGGAAGGTAAGCTAGGTGACTTGAATAAACTAATTTAAATATTGAACTTTTTAATACATAAAGAATAAATGAGTATGTCCCTAGTGCTCTAATAACTCCCTGATTAAAAGTTATGGGCATAAGGAAGAGCATTTCATTTTCAATTCATGAAAAACAAATAAATGGTTAGAGTGCATGTACATTTAAATGTATTGTAATTTAGAAAAAACACAATCCATAAAAAGCCTGTGTTGTCTAATAAAAAATCCTTAACCTTATACACAGAGAAACCTGAACCAACTATTGTATAGTAAATACTAAAATTTCCATTATATTCTAAACAAGTATTCAATGTGCAATATACTTTTACTTACATTAATTTAAATGAGAAAGGGCCACACATATATTACAGGAATGAAGTAATATACTTAACACAGTCTTTTGTTATATGAAATCTTCATAAATTATTGTTCACTATACATACACATATATGCATATTCACTCTTCTATTTATTCAAATAAATATTAATTGAGTACATACCATGTGCCTGACACTGACGATTTATCAGTATAGAAACTGTCTCTATCTCCTTCAGTTCTGCTCTGATCTTAGTTATTTCTTGCCTTCTGCTCGCTTTCGAATGTGTTTGCTCTTGCTTCTCTAATTCTTTTAATTGCGATGTTAGAGTGTCAATTTTAGATCTTTCCTGCTTTCTCTTGTGGGCATTTAGTGCTATAAATTTCCCTCTACACAATTTCTCTACACACTGCTTTAAATGTGTCCCAGAGTTTTTGAAAAGATCAACAAAATTGACAGACCATCAGGGGCAAGACTAATAAAGAAGAAAAGAGAGAAGAATCAAATCGACGCGATTAAAAATGATAAAGGGGATATCACCAATCGTGACCCACAGAAATACAAACTACCATCAGAGTAAATACTATAAACACCTCTACGCAAATAAACTGGAAAATCTAGAAGAAAAGGATAATTTCCTGACACTTTACACTCTTCCAAGACTAAAGCAGGAAGAAGTTGAATCCCTGAATAGACCAATAGCAGGCTCTGAAATTGAGGCACACTAATAGCCTACCAACCAACAAAAAAAGTCCAGGACCAGATGGATTCACAGCTGAATTCTACCAGAGGTACAAGGAGGAGTTGGTACCATTCCTTCTGAAACTATTCCAATCAATAGAAAAAGAGGGAATCCTCCCGAACTCATTTTATGAGGCCAACATCATCCTGATACCAAAGCCTGTCAGAGACACAACAAAAAAAGAGAATTTTAGACCAATATCCCTGATGAACATCGATGCAAAAATCCTCAATAAAATACTGGCAAACCGGATTCAGCAGCACATCAAAAAGCTTATCCACCATGATCAAGTGGGCTTCATCCCTGGAATGCAAGGCTGGTTCAACATACACAAATCAATAAATGTAATCTAGCATATAAACAGAACCAAAGACAAAACCCACATGATTATCTCAATAGATGCAGAAAAGGCCTTTGACAAAATTCAACAGCCCTTCATGCTAAAAACTCTCAATAAGTTCGGTATTCATGGAACGTATCTCAAAATCATAAGAGCTATTTATGACAAACCTACAGCCAATATCATACCGAGTGGGCAGAAACTGGAAGCATTCCCTTTGAAAACTGGCACAAGACAGGGATGCCCTCTCTCACCACTCCTATTCAACATAGTGTTGGAAGTTCTGGCTAGGGCAATCAGGCAAGAGAAAGAAATAAAGGGTATTTAGTTAGGAAAAGAAGAAGTCAAACTGTCCCGGTTTGCAGACGATATGATTGTATATTTAGAAAACCCCATTGTCTCAGCCCAAAATCTCCTTAAGCTGATAAGCAACTTCAGCAAAGTCTCAGGATACAAAATCAATGTGCAAAAATCACAAGCATTCTGATACACCAGTAACAGATAGAGAGCCAAATCATGAATGAACTTCCATTCACAATTGCTTCAAAGAGAATAAAATACCTAGGAATCCAACTTACAAGGGCTGTAAAGGACCTCTTCAAGGAGAACTAAAAACCACTGCTCAGTGAAATCAAAGAGGACACAAACAAATGGAAGAACATACCATGCTCATGGATAGGAAGAATCAATATCATGAAAATGGCCATACTGCCCAAGATAATTTACAGATTCAATGCCATCCCCATCAAGCTACCAATGACTTTCTTCACAGAATTGGAAAACACTGCTTTAAAGTTCATATGGAACCAAAAAAGAGCCCACATTGCCAAGACAATCCTAAGTCAAAAGAACAAAGTTGGAGGCATCACGCCACCTGACTTCAAACTATACTACAAGGCTACAGTAACCAAAACAGCATGGTACTGGTACCAAAACAGAGATACAGACCAATGGAACAGAACAGAGTCCTCAGAAATAATACCACACATCTACAGCCATCTGATCTTTGACAAACCTGAGAGAAACAAGAAATGGGGAAAGGATTCCCTATTTAATAAATGGTGCTGGGAAAATTGGCTAGCCATAGGTAGAAAGCTGAAACTGGATCCTTTCCTTACTCCTTATACAAAAATTAATTCAAGATGGATTAGAGACTTAAATGTTAGAGCTAATACCATAAAATCCCTAGAGGAAAACCTAGGTAGTACCATTCAGGACATAGGCATGGGCAAGGACTTCATGTCTAAAATACCAAAAGCAATGGCAACAAAAGCCAAAATTGACAGATTGGATTTAATTAAACTAAAGAGCTTCTGCACAGCAAAAGAAACTACCATCAGAGTGAACAGGCAACCTACAGAATGGGAGAAAATTTTTACAATCTACTCATCAGACAAAGGGCT